TATCCTTGGTTAGACAGGCCCAGTGGAGATTTGAAAAGGTAGTGCAGGTAGCAGGAGTCCAAATAGCAGTTTGAGTTTCAGACTGACCACAGCCAGCCATTATCAGCATCAAGCATAGGGGTCTGTATTTATTTCTTTGTAAAACTCACTGTGTGAATGTATCAGCAACTGTGTGAAATTGTATTTTTTGTTATTTCAAATGTTTCTTTTGCAGGATGAATGCAGCATTCCTTGAGAGTCAATTCCAATAGAAAATAGTCTTGAAAACATTCGACCAGAAGAGAAAGCAATAATAATATGTGGGAGACCTCTGCGCTCACTTCTAGGTGATGAAAAATACACTGGTGACGGCAGAACAATGACTAGATTCCGCATGGTAAAAATGCAGAACTTTAGGATAAAATATAATATAGAAATAGCAGCACTTGATTCCAGATATAACTAGTGCACTACCATCGGTACAGTATGTATAGTCTCTCTGGATCGGTCATTAAAATTCTGCAAAAATGTCCAGAAAAAGGTCATGGGTGAATAGCAGTAAATATTTAGAATATGGGATAAGCCGTCTGCTTACTTCAGGAGAGAAATCTATGTTGTAACCAAAGTAGACACTGTTTACGACTGTGGCTAGAGCAGACTTTTTCAACAGGGGTGCTGCCTGGATTTGTCAGAACAAATAAATTAAAATGTCAACAAACTGGCTGACTTATTTCCTAAGTTGTTACTTTGCAGCATAACAACCAAGGATGCTGTGTGGGGTCAGCACCAGTGTCCCAGCAACCAATTACATAATTGCTTGCTAGGATGCAGACAGGCAGCCTGCACAGCACCCATGGTTGCCCCTCTCGTCAACACCGTGGACATCGTGTTCCGTAAACTAGTTGTGTGAAGGAGAGAAACACAGATCTATAGTGCTTGTGATGGAATATTAGATCATGCTATATTTAGCTCTGCTCTATAGGTACAGATGGCTGCAATGCTCCTTACAATGCACAAAGCTTCATTTATGTATTAGCAAATTCGTTAATGGTAAATGGAGAATAAGGCGTCCTGAACGTATTCTGGATGACTGAACCAGTGCATGAAGCTGAAAACATTAACATTCCACCTATTGGATATTTCTTATCTATTGGGTACCCCTTATTGAAATATAGAACACGGAGAGCGCCTCCATCGTGTAAAATCATTTTAATGAACAAGGATAAAAAACAGTTAGATTTGTACTCACAAAAGGAGCTGAAAAACAGGCATGAACAGATCACATAAAGCAGACTTAGCCTGCCGGCTGTCAGTCCTTCTTTGGTTTACGCGTTTCTGAGGTCACGCCTCCATCAGAACCAATCCACTTATTGAGTAGATACCCCGCTGGTATTGACGCTCATTCATTCCTGTGAAATATAACCTCTTAGGTTCGGACATTGTTGGATCTGTGCTAAAATGATGCACCCAGGCATCATATACTGACAGAGTGTTTGTGTGCATTCTCTCAGGCTCAGATTGATGGGAACATTTATTTGCTTTATGCTTTTTAACATAGTGTGCCTCAAGCTTTTGCATACTTTTAAGGAGTGCCACGACTGAACACGGGGCTGGAGGTTGACTCTGCTAATATATACAATGTGCTTAGAAATGGCCTTTGTAAATGATAGCTGGTTACATGTTGTGGTGAAGTTTCATATGTGGGTGATCCTCCTTGGGAATGAGTCTCTCTAATATTGATCCAGTACAGGAATAATAGGCTACCTTTCTGCCTACTAACCTCTATACTGGTTCATCACTTACAAAGCCCTGCTTTCTGAACACATTGTTTAGATTTGTGGCGTTAACCTCTACCCGCTGTCGGAAACATTTGATGTGTTGGTTCGACTTGTTTCCTGAAGTGAACAGGCGGTTTATACCGTGTGTGGAGCAATTACTGCTGTCTGTGTTATTGTGGTTGCTATTCACCCGTGACCTTTCTCTGATTTTATCGACAAATGCTGAGAGCCCACACAGACTGATGCTTGTTAGTGCATTAGGTTTATCTAACTAGTTAAGTGCTGCTAATTATAAATGACATTGAATCCTATAGTTCTGCATTTTAACCCCTGGAATCTAATCATTGTTCTGTGTTTACCGGAATGTGTTTTTATCACTTTTTCTTCTGGTCAAATGTTCTCAGACTATTATTTGGGGCTCTTTTCTCTTCTGGTCAAATGTTTTTAAACTATTGTCTAAACCTAAGTATTTTGATCCAGATGAGAAAGCAGACTAAAACAATAGCCGAAATATATTTGACTCAGAGAGAAAATACCTTAAAGAAGAAAATCTTAACCCTTGCAGTGGTGCTACCCCTGCGCTGCAAGGGATGGGTGCCCAGTTTGTCTAGGGAGCTAAAATAACATTATACTCACCCAAACTACAATTCCACCTGGCTGTTAGACTTCCTTCAGCCTCGCTCCCCCTCCACTCCAGTAGTCTAAAGCTGGCCATACACCTATAGATTATCTGCAGGTTTTCTATGGTCAGATGGAAAAAGTGAAACAGATCCCTCCATCTCCGCTAAACTGTATGGATGGAGGAATCTCCCACTGGGCCAAGCTTCAGTTTCCCTGACTGCTCCATGTCGGCATACGAGTGGGTACAGGCTCCTCCTACATCCAATCAGATTGTTAGGGACCTGATCACTCCCTGGACCTTAGACCTCTTGGACGGAGGAGAATGGCTGACAATTTTTAGAAGGTCACTGTTTTGGTACTTTTTGTGCATTGCAGTCTTAGCATTCATGTAAAACTTTTTAATCATTCCTAATTATTGAATGGATTGTAAACTGTAATACAAAAAGCTATAACACTATCGTTTTGCTGCAAATTTTGTATTGTTAACAATATTCTGATTGCATGCTTACTGTGTAAAGGTTGGAGCACTATGACATATGGTGGCATATGGTTATATGGAATATGGTTATTTTCTGTTCTAAATAACATCAGACATGTTTGACTGATAAATGGATATAGAACATGTCAGCCTGTGCAAGAATTGTACTGAAATGAACATTGGCACTACATGATGAAGAAATGACAGAAAGAACATATGCTTTAAAGGTAGAAATCACAACGGTAAGACATTTAGATAATAAAACATGAGCAATGTTACGTGTTATTGATTGTAATAAGGAAATGATTGAGAGGCTGCGCTATGTATATAATCTCTGTTGATATAAAATAAACATTATAGAAATTGTGCGTGTGACTGGAATAACTGGAGAAAGGCAGACCTACAAGTAGTTAGGGTGTTTTATTACAATTTAAGATACATTTACATTTCTACATGCTGTGCATTAAGAAAGAAAGAAAAATATTACATTTGGATTAGCACATTTATTTTCCTTCATCACAGGTTTGCATTATGAAGTTTAATCCAAACTGCGTTTCTTTAAAGTGCTGGGGGGCCTGAGTAGTATTCGGTCTCATCTGCCATCTAAGTTAGATGTGTTTTAAATCTTAAGAAGAGGTGAAAATCAGCAGCAGAACAGATGACAAAGTCTAAGGACGTGTAAGTAGACTATGCCTTAAAAATTGTGAATGCCAACATTCTAACATTGCCAAAATAGATGCAATTACAAGGTGTGACCTAAAAATACAGCGATTGTTTCATTAAAAAAAAATCTCATTACAGTAAAAGACACATTACCATGAATCCCCCTGAAAATACTCCCCCCACACTTAGAACACACTTATCCCATTGTTCTTGCCAGTTCTGGAAGTCCTCTTCCGGGAGTCTTTAGTAGCGCTTTGTGGAGGCGGCCTCAAGTCCTGAATTGATTAAAACATTTACCTTTCATGGTCATTTTGACTTTGTAGAAGAGCCAGAAGTGGCACTTTACCAGATCCGGTGAATAAGGACACACTGTAATGTTGTTGACAGAAATTGCCGTACCAGAAGCGATGTGTGACGCGGAGCGTTGTCATGATGGAAGATGAAACCCTTTGCCCATTTCTCGGGACGTTTTCTACGCACATCGTTTCATCAAATCATTTCACTTACTCTTTCAACATTCTCTTGGGGTTTTGATGCTGAAGGACGTCCTGATCTCTCCTCTTCTTCAACCGATTCACAACCATTGCAAAATCACTCCAACACTTGTAAACCGTCTTCATGGTCACTGCAGCATCACCATCAACTAATATTAACATTCTGTGTGTTTCTTTACCACGTTTGTGCAGTTTGAAACAAAATTTCAGCTCAACGTGTTGTGATGTTCGTGATCCATGATTCACGGCACTTTAAACGCAACTTCATTCAACCGCAGCTCACAACTGACTGCACCGAACAAGCTGAAACTTGTCACACGCGCTTCTCGTATTAAGGAGCCCTGCCTTTTCATTGGATGGCACGAGGCAGCAGCGCTCACCGTATTTTTTGATCACACCTCGTATTTAAGAATCCATCACAACTGACATCTGCTGCTAAAAGGCACTACAAGGTGATGATGAAAAAAAACTATTTCCAGTGTGCTCTGAATCTCACAGAGCAAATCATACACCTCTCTGTGTAGAGCCTGTATGCTGTGTTGTGGGATATGGGTGGGTCTGCCTGAACTGTGAGCTACACTGGAGTTTGGGAGCACACAAGGCGCTCAGGACACGGTTCTAAACAAGTGACTATCACTATCTAGTGCATAAGTTGGGAAATGGTTGGTTTATTCAGAGGCATCTCACACAGGTGATAGAGTGGGACTGTCATAAATCAGAAAAATATAGGATAGTGGTTATGAGGTATACAGATTGGTTATTGCCCTTGAGGACACTTTGGTTTATAGATTGACATTTTCCAGGTAGATTAGTAGCTCAGGTCATAAACCACATATGTGAGATAGTATAATACAGGAAAAGAATCAAATAAAGTAGTGTGCACAGATACATTTTTATCAGGCTTGCATTATCCATCAATTGATCTGCATGAAGGTTTCCTGAAGGATCTCAAACAGAATTGTATACTTTTTTTTCCACATCGAAATCACAGAGATTTTTAATAATGAGGGTTCTCCACTTCTCATTAAGGGACATTACAGATTGGTTCTTTCTCCTTGCACACAACGTGCTTTTGCCATCCATGCATCCTGGAAAATAAAAACAGTACATTTTATGTTAGAAATCTATGTTACCAAATACAAAAGAAACATCTGCGATTTCTTGATCAACAACTTGTAGCGTTGATGGCGGAATCTGCTCTATTTGTTTCATTCAGCCCGTGGGTTGAATGAAAAAAAAAGAAAAGAAAAGAAGAGCAGTGTATGGCCAGCTTTAGTCTTACCCACATGGATCCCCTTAGGGAGATCCTCTGGAAGCCAATTCTTCCCAAATGGTAGTTTTTGGATATAAAAGGAGAGGTTCCCACACTAAGGTGTGTCTCAGACCCTGCATTGCAGGCAAAGGACATATGAGAAGGGCGCGTGTCACCCTGGGCTGAACTAACTAATCTAATCTCACGCTGAATGTATACGCTGACAGAAGCAGGGAATGCCTTGAGGACTTTGTGGGACCTGTCCATCCGGGAATTAGGCTCCTTTTCACTGGCTGATTCGTAGACTTGTGAAGAAGGCCTTCCTGATGCCTTTCCCTGTTTCCCTGTTTAAGACTTCTGTCCCTTGTTCCATGGATGCTGCTGCTTTGTTGGATCTGGGAAGTCAGAAGAATTCTAAGCCGCATAACTCTTTAAGGTCAAGGATAAGCAAGGTCCGAGTCCTCTTTTTGAGCGTGTTGGTGGACATCCCACCTAGGCAGTAGATTCAGCCTCATCCCGTGTTAAATTCTGTTTGTTGGACCTGTAAGCGGTTCTTGTTTGCCGTCTCCCCACCCCTTAAGTTGGACTGCTTTTGGACATCCAGCATATAACTTCCTGTGTCCCTCAATGGACAATTTTGTAACCACCATAAAATCCCACCCCTATGTGTTTATGATCATGCTTTTGGTACTGATTGCTGCAAACTGAGACAAGCTGGGCAGATAAGGTGTTATCCTGAGCTAGCCTATAGATTTTGTTTTCCGGTGTCCTATTCTCCTGAAAGGGGCAGTATAACGCAACAATAGATGACCTCCTGTGTCCCTTAATAGTCTCAAAGAAAATGATTGTGTCTGAAGTACAGAAATCCTTTTTAAAGTAAAATGATTTCTTTTTTTTTTTTAACAGTTGTTAGAAAGCAGGGTTCATATTACAGAACTGCTCTATATGTGGTTATTAGACAATGAAAACCAGCTAATGATAACTAAGAACAGTAAAAGGATAGGAATGCAGGGCCAGAGATTTCAATTCAGTACCCACTAAGAACTTCAGAATTGTATATGAACATTTACAAAATGCTTCAGCAATTCTATGCCAATGTTACATTATCTATTTCCAGTTTCCTGTTCCATGTTTGCTCCAGATATTATACAGTAAACTCTCTGCATGAAAGTTCCGGTTAGTTGAATAGCGGTTAAAGGAGAACTATGGGGTCAGTGCTTTTCCCCATAGTTCTCCTAAGGGTAACGGGAGGACACAAACTAGCGTCCTCCCGTCACCCTAAGCTCAGTATACCGCAGCTGAAACGGATCCTGACAATTATGTCTGGATCCGCCCAGTGGCGTGAGTGAAAGCTGGCTCTGCCTATCTAGAGGCAGAGCCAGATGTACCTGCCCCCTCCCCCCCCGTTCCGCCAGTCAGCGCTGGAGGATCGGAGCGGAGAATCCAGTCCCTCCCCTGTGACGGCTCTTTGCCGTGACAGGATTGAGAAGTGAGCGAACGCCGGTATGTGTTCGCTCACCTCCCGATCTACTGAGCCGACCTGTGATAGTCTCATGTCTCAGTCTCACAGGTCGGCTAGAACTATGAGGTGAGTGAAAAGCACTCACCTCATAGTTCTCCTTTAACAACCAAAATCCACTGTGCACTCACTGTTCTGCCAATCCGTTACTTTGTTGGAGAGGGGGCTCTGTAGCACGGAAGGGTAGAGAAGCAGGGCCAAAGAGTGTAATTGCCACTGTATTATCCTGGGAACAGGTGTATGTAAACGATAATCTGTGAACAAGCACACCCTAGTACCGTAATAACTCCCAGTACTGCACTGTATTGCTCATGGATTATAGCACAGTATACTGCAGATCTCCAGTCCCACTGTCAGGCAGCCACAGTGCACATAGCATTACAGCACCTGTATTAATTACAGCACTAATACTAAGTGTGTCGGTTAATTTGCTTTTGATTACTTTATTTCAATAGTAATATGAAGTCAATACAGATTATATGTTATGGTATAGCAAGGGGTATAGCATTAGTTAAACCTATTTTTAATAGAAACTCTCAAGCAACCAGAAACATTTATCCGGAAAGGACCAATTCCCGTGAATGCCGGAAAACTGGGAATGTACTGTAGTTACCTCGGACAGCTCAAAAATACACTTTTTGGTAGGTTTCTGAGTAAAATGGTCCTAAACTGAATTCCCTGCACAGAAGAAAGCCTGACTGTTGATTTTCATACTTGTATCTTGCCATTCAAACCCAGTTGATTTCACAATAAAAGCTATATGAAGTGTCAATATGAATTACCCTAATGTGAGGGACACAGGATAGAATTATTGATGAAGTAGCATATGTTAAGCTAGTAAGCAGGTTTCAGTAAACTAAACAGTAGACAACTGGCATATTCCTTCACCTTTAGAGTGATACCATCTCCCAGTCCATACATCTTCTTTGCCACTTCAGAAACCTCATTCTCAATGTTTTCCTGCGATGTCCCCTTTACATCTATATAGTGGCAATCAGAGCTTGCATAATGGCAGGAAATTGCCTACAATTCCAAAACAAACACAATAGATTGATAAAGTTTATACATTGACTAAATCTCACATTAGACAAACTCTTTGTACGCAGAAAAATTGTGTCCTCAACCTCACTAATAAATATCAAAAACCTCATTGCAGCAATAATCAGCAGGATAAACCATCTCGCTTCACTCATTTTTCCCAAGCATCCACCCCTTCTCTTGTTGGTCAGGCTACTGGCTGTCTTGGGGTCAGGTTTTAGACGTTTACCCAAACAGGCAGAAACGTTATACATTGTTGTGGATATGGCGATTGAGCAGTTAAAGAGGCGCATGTACCACATTTCCCTATTTCCCAGAGCTTGATAATTTGGTGCTTCCATTTACCTTTCTGAAGCCTGCAGTTTTGTTCATTCCAGATCCGTGGACAAGGACTGGATGGAAAAACACAGTGTCCCCCTTTTCCATGGTCAAATGAACTCTGGGACTGTTTGGATCAAAATCACGTACGCCATGGTACATCTTGTTAACGCCTCCCTAGGATCAGATATTTTATTTATTAATACAGGCTCTGGAAATGTAAAATTACAATACACAACAAAAAAAATGATACAGATATTCTAAAAAGTAATAAGTGGCCATCTCTGCAATAAAAGGCAAAATGATTACACATGAGAAAAGCCCAGCTATTGCTGTGTGCCCGTTGGGGAGATTTACCCTTGCCTTGTCCCAGAGACAGGTTGTCACAAAAATAGAAAGTGATGGGATCTCTCTTTCCAGACAAAACCGGTAACAGAAGTATGTTTTTTAGCAGAAGGTAAGGGATTAGAACATTTGTCAAACATTTATTGCTCTTTGAGTCTTGCTGTGCCTGGTGTCACTGTAACAGGAAGAAAGGGGAAATCTCCCCATTAAGGACACAGACAGCAATAAAAACTTAACATACAAGTTATGACTCTTACCCACTCTACTGAAAGCTTAAAGAAAAAAGGTTTGGCTGTTAAAGTATATTTTTATATTATTACACTTTTAAAACATATTGGATAAGGTAGGAGATTGGGAAAAAAACCCTGAAAGGGTTTAACAATCTGTGCTGGCTTTAGATTAGACATGTGCGATTCGTTTTGCTACGAATCGAAATTCGTACGAATTTTCCTGAAATTCGTAAGCATACGAAATCCGAATGGCAGTTTCCGAATTTATATCCGTAATACGAAATTCCGTTAACGAATTTCAGATCCGAATTTCTTTGAAACAGGAACTAATATTACCCCTGTAAATGGGGTTGAACAACATGACAAGATTTTTTTTTTAATCCGAAATACGGATCCGCTGCTGCTGAGGGTTGCATTACAATACACAGGCAGGAAATACGAAATTCCGCTGACGTATTTTCGTTCCGTTACGAACATTCGTTATATATTGAAGTTAAAAAGCAAAGTACATTTATATTGGAGCTGATGGTAGTTTTTTTTAAAGTCCGAAATACGAAATTCGTATACGGAATCCGTTAACGGAATTCGTATTTCGGATAAAAAAACAACTACCACATCGACTCCAATATTAACAAAGGTATTTTTGCTTATTAACTTCATCATAACGAATGTTCGTAAAGTTACGAAAATGTGCCGAAACTAACGAAAATCCGTATTTCGTACGAATCCGAATTGAGTTTCGGATACGAATGACGAAATAATGGATATTACGAAACACATTTTTTGACGGCGCACAAGTCTACTTTAGATACACATTAATGAGATTGTTTTCTTATTTCATGATCTAATCTAACAGGTTCTGCATCCCTATCTCCACGGGGTGGAAGGTCATTCAAACTGTGACAGGCTAGATTAGGGAGGGTAAGGGAGGAGAAGGAAGGGGGAAAGTGTCCGCAGCAGTCGGTATGCCCTCCTGTAGCACACAAGTAGAATGGAGAGATGTGACAGTAACAAGCAGGAAGGAGTTATTTGCTAAGAGAACTGGCAGCATCACCAGGTCATTTATGACTTTGGAAGATCTTAGGAAATGTAGAGCTTGCTGAGATTTCAGAAGGAAGGACTAAGTAGTTCCTATTAATATTAGGATTAATTTATACTTTAAGTCAAAATGTAAAAATTGAGAATTTTTTGGCAAAAGAGACATGCAAAGATTTTTCTGCTAGAATGTGCCATACAGTGTACATTCTCGCTCATTTTTGGCATTTCAAAAATAGAGCTTGATGCTGGGAAGAATCATTAGTAGCCATCCAATGCCCAAAGAATATATACACTGAGTATTCGTCGCCCCCCCACCCCCCCTTTTTTTGTTTGGTGTTTCCCCCTCATTTGCCCTTCTACCTTTCATTCCTTCACACCTAGTGTCTTCTTTTACTCTGTGCCTCCTGGCTTCCTTTCCCTTCTTCCTTCTTGCTATCAATTCAATACTTACTGATATTCAACTTCAGTTACTACGCCTTCCCCAGAAGCACAAGCTTCGCCACAAACCTACCTTTGTATGCTGGGTTGTAGACGTAGTCAGTTTTACACTGCGCTTTCACACATGTCGGACCATTGTCCGAGCACATACCTTATAATATGTTCAAGCGAGCTTCGATATAAAGCATGTTATGAACGTATGTACTTTGTAACCTATTCTGGAGCTACCTGACATATTTTGTATGTTTTACTATGCTCAATAAAAAACAAAACCTTTTGTGGAGAAAAAAAAAAAAAAGTATTTTTATAAACAGGTGACAAAAGTAATCTCACATTCACACTGGAAGAGGGATGCAGAACTATATAAGCCAATCAGACTGTACTGCATTGCACAGTACAGTCCCTTAGCAGGTAAGACAATTCCATACACAGCTTAATATTTAGCCGTTTGTCTGGAGTTTGATTTGGAGGACTCCAAAATAAATAAATAAATAGGTAGAAGGTCACTCACCTCCCATTCTGGATAGTCATGCTGCTTTAGTTCATCTTTGTGTGTTCCTGGAACAACCACAAGACATCCATTGCTACGGTCAATATGCTCCATCGCTGTCCAGGCACAAACAACATGGTTTGCAGGTCTGAATGGGAAAAAGTGCAGATCTTGATGCATTGGATGACGAGAGGTCTTTTTACCTTGTGGAGCAGAACAAAATCTTAAATGCAGAAGGAACAAGAGACAAAAGTACTGCTGTTGGTTTTTTTTAATTGTTCGTTATTTTCATGATGATCATCACACTAGGATAACAATACTAAAAGGTGCCCATACACTGCACGATTCTCGTACGAGAATCGAGGGAAATCCCGCGATCGTACGAGAATTGTGCAGTGTATGGAAGGCGTGCGACCGTTTCTACTGTACGGTCGCACGTCTTCCGTCGAACCAGCATGCTAGAAAACCCGCCGGGAATCGTACGATTCTCGGTGAGTTAGTGGCCTGCTGGTTCGAAAACTGACGAACGGGCCGGTGTGCGCACGCGCACACTACCCGTTTGCAGTCATCGTAAGCCCGCCCCTCATTGCAGTCATCGTAAGCCCGCCCCTCAGGGGGGCGGGCTTGCAATGATCGAGAGTACGATCTGCCTGTCCAAGATGGGCAGATCGTACATTTTTTTAAGTACTTTACAACCATCGCAAGACTAAGGTCTTGCGATGGTTGTAAAGTGTATGGCCACCTTTAGGCTACTTACAGATAGAAGATAGTTGTCTAAAGAAACAGGCGATTTCACGTCAAATCTCTTTTCATCAAAGTAAGACTGTCGAAATAAATTATTGTTCTAGGGTGAACATTGCTAGAAAGAATAGTCTCATATGTTTGGCTAGAGGGAGCCCAGTGCCCAGGAAGTCCACCTGTCCCAGGCTTTATTATATTTGTAAGGGCATCCTCTTTTTTTGTAGACCAATTGTTTGTAGGGTAGGGTTGCATTCCCTTATGCCCTCTATTGAGACACGTTAGGTGGTAGGGCCTGTATCCATAATTTAGTAATCAGTTTTCTAGTCATAAATTAGATTTTTTTTTAAAATAAAAAAAATAATGCACATGTGAGTGTCTACGTCCGTGGTGGTCAGAGTGGAAGAGTTGGGATGCAAGGTTATAAATGGCCACCCCTGACCTGAACCTATAAGGGTCTCAGGATAGTCTTCCCTATCAGTTTTTGTCTGCATTTACCCCTGAAGAATGGATTAAGGATGGATTTAAGGATTTTAAAAATACTGTACTGGTATGTATATTGGGAGTGCCACAGGATGTATAATAATTTTGGGAGCAGGATCATTTTTATAAGAATCACCCTGCCTTGCACTCTTAGTAATGTGGGGTTTTATATTTACTGTGGTAAAGTCAGGGGTCAATGGTTATGTTAATACTCAGGTATTTGGTAATGTCTGTTCTGAAAGGTGTGGGTGGGAGGAAAGCCTGTTCATACACAGGAGGACAGTTATCGAGAAGGAGAATCTGTAATAACTAGACTGCACTTTTGTCTGTATTATTGTCTATATGGTGGGAGCAACAGATAGATAACAGACATCTAAGCGAGTCAGGCAAGGGGAAAGGGGAGGGTATTACTGGAGGTTTTTGCGGATGAAAGTAGTACTCACAAGCAATTGGACAAGGTGGATGGACAGGCATGGCCCTACTGGGGTAAATGTTGCTGTTCAGGGCACTGGAAACAAGATTGGCCTCTGTCCAAGTTTTATAGCCTTGCTGGGTAAAGCATTGCATACTTTATCTGAAGATCTCAAAGTTGCCAATTAGCTACTGTATGTTAGCCTATTGTTTCTGAATCTCATTGGAGTCTGTATAAACAGCTACTGTAGAGTTCTGAAACAGGATATTACCGACATCTGAGTCAGTCTGATCACCATGTCTCTTTCCTTGTAGTTCAGAATTTGGCCAAAAATTTTCTTGGAGGGTTTCCAGGTGGAGGAGACCTAGCTGTGAGATGGCGGGCCTGCTCTGCTGCGAAGGTGAAGGAGAATTGTTCTCTGCCAAATCTGGCAGTAAGCCGTGTAATTGAACCCGACACGTGTACCAAGAGTGTACCAAGAGTCCAGAACTGTATTTTATTATTCCAGATATCACAAAGGTAATGGAAAACAGTCAACGTGTTTCAGGGGCCAAACAATTCCTCTTGATAAGGGCTTTAACAATAGTCATATAAATCTTGGATCACTTCATCCAAATTAGGCGAATACAGCTGCCCAACGACATATTTTTTTTTACTCCCTGGCTTTAACGTGCAAGGAGGGAGGAAACTGTGCAAGGTAATTGACTCTCCTAGAGTAGTCAGATTTACTAGCAAGTGCACGGGCAAGTGAATCAAAATAATTTATGAAAAGGAAAAATACTGAAAGTAAGCATTTCAAATACTTGATTTTTATCTTGCTTTTACCAGCAATTTTGGTGACAGGGTTTCTAACTAGTGGCTGCAGTTACAGGGGTCACTGCTGCAACTCCTGCAACCCTCAATTCCCACATAAATGATTACTAGCCCAGCCTCCCTGAATTTTATCATGTACTGCACATCAAGTGAAAGCAGGGATCATATTGCAATCAGCAGTCTAATAATCAATGCCAGCCACATCAGATACATTCTATAAATAGTTTGTCTTTAGATATATTTTATGGTAAGCTAGGTTTCCGACTTGCCTGGAGGTCTACTTACCTGCATCAGGAGGCTTATTGATGAGCATGGTGTGCATGGACATAATGTTCGGACCAACGAAGCATTCCACGTATTTCAGAATCTAAGTAACAATAACACATTTAGTTACACCAAGCAAAATAAAAGACTGACTTTAGAAAAGGTGTCCTTCTGGGGTTTGGGCACACTATAAAATACAACAGCATTTATGATTAATACCATGTAAGGTTCACAGCATAAACAATGTAGATTTTGAAAAATCGGTTACACTACTGCTTGATGCATCTGTCTGTGATCTTCCCACTGTCTCTGTGTCTGCTCTGGATCTTACAGTCCTGCTTTCTGCTTTCCTCTGCTGCACATCCCCTGTCTGCTCCACTCCAACTGTGCAATGTTTTCTCTGATATACAGTGTCTACCCCACTGCACATAGCTCTGTATGCTCCACCTTCACTGAGCAAGCTTATGTCTGATGCACACCTCTCCCGGTGTCTACCCATTCCTGTCACTGTAACCATCTTCATCCTACTATGTTTGATAATATATCAGAGTTTGCGTTCTCCTGCTCTTCGTGCTCCCAAGTACTCTGCCCTACAGATTGCAATGGGTGACAGAGACTGTCCCAATGTATTCTGCAGAGGTCTACTGACAGTTTGACAACTGCTCCGTCTCAGGACTGTGGCTGTCAGTAGTTCAAATACACAGAGCTGGACTGCCTGTCAGACTGACTTTGGAACCCTGCAGATTACACTGGGAGAGCTGCTTTTGCAGCATTATCTGACAGCCGAGCTCTCCCACATGTATCATGAGGTTGCAGCCGTCATTCATGCTTATTGCAAATCAAAGTAATATCCTTAGTTGATTATGTATTTATTTATTACAGGTATTTATATAGCGCCAACAATTTTACGCAGCGCTTTACATAGTTGCACATGCACATCAGTCCCTGTCCTCAAGGAGCTCACAATCTAAGGTCCCATCTCACATACATACATACATACATACATACATACATACAGGGCCAACTTTAGACAGGAGCCAATTAACCTACCAGCATGTCTTTGGAGTGCGGGAGGAAACCGGAGTACCCGGAGGAAACCCACGCAAGCACAGGGAGAACATGCAAACTCCTTTGCAGATAGTGATCTGGCTGGTATTCGAACCAGGGACCCCCAGTTCTGCAAGGCAGAAGCGCTAACCACTGATTTGCTTTTGAATTCCTTCTTCCCCTTCTTCTCTTAGCTATTTTTTGCCGATTACCGGTATTTTCTGCCATCATCATTAATTTTTTTAGTTGTACTTTAAAAAAATACACACATTTTTTTTAAAACATGCCTAATCTCTTTCTACAACTTGTAACAAAGTGAAAAAAAAAATTTTTGTACAGTGTACTGTTGATAAGCTATATTAGTTCCCAGATGAATAAACAAATTTTGGTCACCATAAAGTTAATGAAAACATGTCTGTTTTACCATGCTCATTATGCCCAGATCACACTGATTTAACCATTTGGACCCCCCCCCACAAAAAAAAGAGCTGCTATTAACAGCTATTTCAGTTCGGAGCAGCAGAATACACTGTAGCTAACTGCAGTTCCCTAAACAAATATTTACAATGCATCTGTTTGAAGATTCTTTTACATCGTGGTTGCTGAAAAACCCTGAAAGTGGGAAAACCATGTTTTGCTATTTTTTTTTTTTAAAGAAAAGACTTTCCTAACTAACCAATTATTAACCATTGTTACATAAGACAACATCATCAAAAGGAATGCCTTGTATGTCCCAAAAACAAAATACGCCTCAATTCCATAGTTGAGATGTCAAAATGGTTCGGGGGCCTAAAGTTTTAAGCATTTCATATTCATTTTTAAATATCTAGTATGTCTGCATTCATTTCAGATTTAGTATCAGTTAGGGATGTTCAGATACCAAATACAGTACTCGGTACAAGTACATGATCTGAAACTGTATTGTGTTGTAAATTGTATTGTAACTGTGCTGTCTCTACTATTTTGTAAAGCGCTGAGCAAATTATTGGCGCTATATAAATCCTGTATAATAATAATAAAGTACAGATACTTTTCCAGCTCCAAGACTAGACTAGAGAAAAATTCAAAAGTTAGGAGGCAGCTGCCATTTGTAAGGAGCACACGGAGCTCCTGGGATTTGTGCATCCCTATTTAAGGGCTTGTTCACACCGAAAGCGTGTGCGTTCCAGAGCGGTAGCTGCTGGAACGCACCGCGATCGCTAAGAAACTACCCCCCGCGTTCTGGGGCGGGAGGGGGTGTGGCGGTGCATTGACTTCAATGGCATCGCTTCCATGTCCACCTGCCCGCAGTGCGATCGGACGCGTGGCAAAACTTTGCCAGCGTTCCGTTGCAAACGCAAAAAAATATAGAGCAAGCCCTATTTTTTGCGTTTGCAGTGGAACGGAACGCTGGCAAAATTTTGCTATGCATCCGATCGCACTGCGGGTGGGGGGGAGGGGGGGGTGGAAGCGGTGCCATTGAATTAAATGCACCGTCACGCCCCACCCGACCCCAGAACACGGGGGGAAGTTTCTTAGCGATCGCGGTGTGTTCTGGAACGCATACGCTTTCGGTGTGAACAAGCCCTAAATGTATGATTTGTTTTTTTATAAATATATATTAGGGATGCATCCATACCATTTTTTCAAGTACTGATACTTGTCCAAGTACTCACAGATACAAGTACTGACACATTTTTGTTTAGTGTCATGTGACAATTTTTAAAAAACAATACAGACTAATGATTTCAGGACAGTGGTGGAGCGCCAGAGCCAGGTCCCAGCTGTAACCGCGACAACCCTGGAAGTTCTCATGAAAATGCCAAGTATCTGCACTGGTATCTGAACATCCCTAGCATTAGTGTTGGAACCCTGTAAACCTGTGAAGTATCCATCTAATAGTTCAGCAGGAGTGAGGGCTCCAAACTGTAAATATCAAACACGGGCTGTACATCTGTTATGATAAATGAGTACAAATATTACCTGTGGCAGAGCGCAGTATCTGAAGAGCTCAGGAAGCTCCTGAAACTCCTGAATCTTCGTAATAGCTTTCTGGTCTGGAACAAATTCGGATTTGGCAATGGCCACATCTCGCATGATAACCAATCCAGGTGCCCCCAGCTCTTTCTTGCACACTTTCTCAAACACTAACCTATACAAAACAAATGATATAGTCATAAACAATAAAGTAACAGTGGCTATGAAGAATTAGGAGCCAAGCTGTAACTAACATTACCCAACATATTCAAGGTAGAAGTTTAGATTTATTTCCCGTAAACTAGAAATGTATTTGATTTGATCAAGTTTGGATCGAGTGGTAAGGGGTTGGAACCTAGGTCAGATTTTCATTGTTTTATCAGTGGTGTTGTCAGGAAAGTGATTTCCCATTGCTTCATGCTCGGGTGACTCGTGTCAATGACCCATTCACCTCCTGTCCCCATTACTGGTGCTGCCTGAGAGAATGACTTAAGCCACCCAGTGTGGACATGGATAGCAAAAAAAGCGTTCTTATCCTAACCTACACTATCCAAAAGGAAAAGTAGATTTGGGCACACCTCTTCCTTTATTAAAAGTGGACAGCTACAAGTCTCCACCGACTGGAAGCTTAACCCACTGCTCAGCTTAAAGAAGAGCTCGGGGTAATTTTTCATTAACCCTTGCAGTACAGCTGCCCCTGCACTGCAAAGGTTAACTGCTCGGTTTGGCCTAGGTCTGAAAATAACAATATACCTCACCCAAACTGTGACAGCGCTCCCTGAAGTCTGTTTCCTCCTGTGCTGCAGCAATGGAATGTCCTTCGGTGTCCTCACGACCTATTCACAGTGTATTGGATGTAATGATTTACGGGACCTTGGACTGCTTCAGGGGAGGGGAAGAGAGGCTCCAGGGACCGTTCTAAGAGCAAACCAGCTCCAAGGATCAAGCTCAAGATACTTTTGTTAACTTCAGCCTTGGACAAAAACAAGCATGTAACCCTTGCAGCGTAGGGGTAGCCCTACTGCAAGGGTTGATAAAACAATTATAACATGGAGTTCTTCTTTAATAGGAAAACTATGATGTGTTTTTGTACATATTTTGGGTTATTTTGACATACACCAGAATGTAAACTTTGGTGTGACTAACAATTTTGTGTGCTTGCGGTTCCATATTTTGACGATTGTATTTCATGTACAGATCTGCAAATGCTTTGATATTGTGATTTAAAACACCATATTTTTTTTAAAATATACTTTTTGTTGTTTTCTTGCAAACATTACAGTATCATATCAATAAAAACAAAAACTTGTATTACTGACTACGAGGCAATGTGGCTGAAACACACAGATCATGAAGAGTGAAATGACAATCCTGTTTTCCTGTTTAGTCCTGATAAATCTCGGTGCACTGCTTTTGTTGGTGTAGGTGAGCTGATATAATTACTCAATACCTAAGTCCCCATATTGTAAAGAAAATGGCATTAGCACATTGATGAGAGGACAAAAGGAGGAACCAAGGAAGGCAAAACATAAGCAGATTAAAGATTTCACAGACGCAGGAAGAAGAGAATAAAATGGCGTTGGAGTGATCACATATAAAAAAACTCAAAGCTGGGTATGTAATCACATCATATAAATAAACAATATGCCTAATTATGTATACTATATCAAGGTTTATAGAGCTCAGGAATGCACAACAGAGGCCTTTATGATCTTTATTGTAAGTGTAAAGGTTCAGTGACATAAAGATTGCCATAAAGGTTCTCGCTTTAAAAAAAAAAGGAACAACCTATGATAAACTTTTGCCACCTTAGCAGAACCTGTGAGGACTTGTGGAATCAATCCATAAGTTAATGATTGGGTTACCTATTGACATGGGATGACAGTCAGGTCAGCCTGCACCTATAAATGCCTGCAGACACTGCTGGTTGATCACTGTTGTGATAATCAATTGGAAAGGATAAAAAGCCAATGCTTGCAGCATCCTTCATCCTCCAGCCCCCTAAAAAGCCAATGCTTGCAGCATCCTTCATCCTCCAGCCCCCTAAAAAGCCAATGCTTGCAGCATCCTTCATCCTCCAGCCCCCTCACAAGCCAATGCTCGCAGCATCCCT